CACTGCCCCAGCCAGACCCAGTGTGTAATCTGGGGGTCCTCCTAGGCTCACGGCTCCTGATTGAAGAGCAGGGGGCAGGCGTCGCCAGGAGGGCCTTTGCACAACTTCAGATTGTGCATCAGTTACTGGATTGGGATGCCCTTCGAACTGTCACTCATGCCCTTGTTATCTCCCAGACAGACTACTGCAATGCGCTCTACATGGGGCTATCCTCAAAGAGTATCCGGAAGCTACAGCTGGTCCAGAATGCAGCCACGTGGGCTATTTTTGGAGCCCCAAGGAGGGCCCTTGTAACGTCGTTGCTCCGCGAGCTCCATTGGGTACCTGTGATGGAATGGAATTATGAAGGCCAGGCTAAGGGAGATAAGCATTTTCTTAGCTCGCCGATGGAGCGTGGGAACTACAAGAGGATGAGTCTGGCACCTCCCTGAGGAATTCACACTGTTGTGGCTGGCTGACTTAGGTGATGGGGTTTCCGTCTGGGAAGATTCTTGCTAGAGGTTGTAGCTAATAAACATAGCTGAACTGATTTTGCATTGTCTCTTGGAGTTCCTTGGGCTAGGCCTGACAGTACCAGTTTGCTTCCAGGTCCAATTCAAGGTGCTGGTTATCACCTTTAAAGCCGTACATGGCATGGGACCAGGTTACCTAAGGGACCGCCTCTTCCCCATGACCTCAACCCGTCCCATCCGATCACACAAAGCGGTCATCCTTCAGACCGCCTCAATAAAAGAACTCCGATTAGCGGGGTCCAGAAGGCAGGCCTTCTCTGCGGTAGCCCCCACTCTTTGGAACATTCTGCCCCTGGAGGTGCAATTGGCCCCCTCACTCCTGGCCTTCCGAAGGGCTTTGAAGACCCGGTTCTGTCACTTGGCCTGGGGCAGGGAGGGAATACTTCAAGCGTGGGGATGGCTAGCCCCAGAGGCCTGCTGTCTTCAGCCCCAGATTCATCTTCTTGAACTCTCCTTTTCCTCTTTTTTAGTAATGTTTTTGGAATTTTGATGTTTTATGTATTTATGGTTTGAATGTTTTGTGTGAGTTGCCCAGAG